GTTATCTGAATCGCAAATCACCGGGCGTAGACGAGAATTACTAGTATACCAAGCCTGTATTTTAGGTACCTAATAAACTATTGTTTCACGTAATTCACGCATGGCGTCGTGTGTGTAAGATTGACCAGTGTGCTTTATTGTTTCTAATTATATATGTATATCATTGTATTGAACTTTACTGGAGCTCATCTAAGTCTAAATTATCCGTGTATTACACGAATTGTGTAATTTTATATTGGTTAAGAACCCGCACACGAGGTGTTGAAAATATTGAATACTGTTTGGTATTTTGGGTTAATATTTGATACGATTCTTTGACCTTATTTTTTGGTCCAGGAGAACCATGTTTTTATGCGGCTTTTTCATACATCAGGCGAGTCGTAGGGGATGTTACAGTCATATTAAATGCTGTGCCGTCGTGGGACAGTGTCGTATTAAGCAATTTGGCATTTGTTTAGTTAAAGATGTTTTATTTTTGTATGATTCTTACACTGAATCGGTCTTATCAGCTACGCTCACGACTGTCAACTCTCAATATGTGGAGGCTTTGACCCCCATTTGTAATAGTCTTATTTTTTCTTTACAACTACTAATATTATATATATATATATATATATATATATATGTATGATCAGAGAAACCCTAATATATACAGTTACACCAATACTTCACATAAATAATAACACAACATTATGGAAAGTGATGAAACAACATCTGTAAGTGCAGACTGAGACACTGGTGAGGGCCTCCTATTACGTCATTGCAAAACGTCCATGAGCATTCTCTCTTTTCAAACAATCGTATTTCAAACATGTTGATACCTGCTTTATTTACTAGGCATGACATGATTGTTTTTCGGACAGTCACTCCTTGCCACTTTCAACACATTCAATAAGGGTACGACGAAAAATACATTCTCCACGATCCAATGACAAACTTCATTTACAAAACCACTTAAAATACTCCCGGTATATTCAACATGTTTTGGTTATTGGAAACCTGAATTAAAATTAGTAATGTTAATAATGACTTTATCACATGATCTAAGTGTAATCATGTTCTATAGTTTGGTTGACCCTGTCTTTGAATGTCGTGTTTACGATTGGAACTTTACATCTAGGACACGGTGGACATTGATACAGCTGTCCACATTCTACGTGATATCGGCCTAACTATGTTCCAATATGATCTGACAAACACGTCAACGATGTAATAAAATGCAAGATAGTTATGACTAGCTTCATTAGCATTACATCCATACTTACTTTCGCATGTTCATCGCAGACTTACATTACTTATTTGTGTAAAAACTAATTTAAACAATGTGGCTAAGTCACAACCAGTTTGGTTACATTGTTATCAAATCATGAATATTCAGTAACTTGTGAATTTAAATTAGCTCATGAATCTTAATTAACGACCAACAATATTAACATACTGGGTCGAGCTTTGTACTAAATTCACGAAAATTGAATTTCGTGCAAATAATTGGGCTAAAAGTGACCGACAGTCAAATAACACAACGTATATTTTTAATCTGTGGTGTCTATTAAGGAAAATCACTTAGTGGTATTTGTAAACATGGTCATATTATTTATCAAAACAAACATGAATCAAAAGAGTATACGTAAGGGTCGATACTGATGACCCTGTACCAATATTCAAACCTGTATCTAATGGCGAAGCAGTAATACAAAATAATGAGTACATTTTTGCAATACAATCTTAAATATATTAAATTTATTTTTCTAAATTAGAATTAATTACAAGAAATCTGTAAGTACAGTTCATTTTCAGCAATTCAGCAAATACCAGCGATGACGTGTTTCATATAACGAAGACGAGTTTCGGGATCCTTTCACAGCGTGAGGAACATAGTTATAAAGCCGGTAACAATCATGCTGATGTAAGGCGTGCTTACGATTGGTGTTCCACTTATTTCTGGTGCTGAAAATGACAGACATATCAAACAATCAACGTAAAAAATCATAAAAATGCACTCTCCGTCGGAAGTGAGAAAATGAGGTTCCCTCCATTGCAGGAATCAGTAACAGCACTCTGTATTCTACTACGCAGAATACCGACCACTCGATGGTGTTCAGTGATCCGTTCGGGAGTCATACTTTTCCGAGTCAACGTGTTACAATATCAAAATCAAACAATATACTCGTTGGGATGAAAATACCCACCTTCCGTGTTTTTTTTTATTTACCGACAATGAATTGATGATGTAATGACAGGATAACATTACATAATCAGTCAAATAAGGGCCTTCCCGTTCACCAACATGCCATGAATAGGTTCTCCCGGATTACAATGCATTAGCTGCGACACTCAATGCATTGTGCGACTGGATTTCGGTACAAAATAATTTGTATATAAATACTCACTGTCAGTCGTTGGTTCATCTACTTCATATGGTTTCCATGTACATTCGGGATCCCATCCTACTGTATCTATTATACCAAGTTCAAATAACTCCTTATTTAACCATTCGTCCAGTAGTTTGAAGTAATTCAATAATGGTAAAGACTCCATTTCATATGTACCTGCTATGGCATACATGGCGTTTGGCCATGGTACACTACGACCTTTTTCTAACATGTCCCTACAAACAATGAACATATATACATGAGTTTACAAATACTAGTTATATAAATATTCACAACTGGTCACTAGGATTGTATATAAATGTGCAGTAGATGCATAAATATATTTAACTAGTAAAGAAATTCGATTGTGCAATAAACACAAGCTTACGCCAGGACTTTTCCAGCTTCTGTGGAATTGTAGAAATCGCATTTAAAGATCTCCTGGTCCCATCC